TGAGATCAAAGCTTATTTCAACCACTAATGAAATCAAATTATTAAATGTTTTTTAAATATGTTCATCTTTATAAAATCTCTTAATATAATTTAAATTCCATAAGCTTTGCAGAGTAATTGAAGTTCGGTGAGGACAGCTAGGCAACTGCTTCGTTTCACATTAAGCAAATGTCTGGGAATTTTTGTCGCAGAGCGGAAATAAAGAAGAAATGCGAAGGCAGAGCCATTGACAGTCCCTGGGGATCCTTGGAGGACCGCCCACTGCTTGTTATCCCTACTCTCAGTATATTCTCCCCCCTCTCTCTCTCTCTCTGTGTCTACTTCTCTCTCTTTGTGTGTGTCTGCACCGCCCGGCGCGCTGATTAGAAACCCCAGAGCGTTGCCAGCTGTCGACGCGCTACAAAATTGGCTTTTAATTGTTGCAGAAGTGAATTTGCCACAAACAGGATGCAATTAAGACATTCAAATTCACGATTCGAGTGCGCGCTGCTGCTGCACGCGACATCGAGTGGCAGACACAGACACAGGAACTCGTGCTCAGGTGCCATCGCGCTATCGAGCGCTCTCCGGGCACGTGCAATAGCAGAGATAAGCATGGAGCATCGAGTCGTGGCCAGTGGCCAGTGGCGACCCCGACACACATTCAGAGTGGAACATTAACTAATCTGTGTGTGGCACTTGGGCATAACGACGTTGGCGTTGGGGCAAGCAGTCGTGCCACTTTTCCAATCCCGTCGCCAGCTTCGAAAACGAAAAACGAAAAACGAAAAACGCAAAAAAGGCAAAACGAAAATAATAAAAGGGGCGTCGGCAAAAAGGCCAACGCCGAGAAATATGCGTACGTGCTCGTGTGATAAATTCACATTTTCCGGCTGGCAGCAGCAGAGCAGCAAAGCAGCAGGAGCAGGAGCAGGACAATCGTTGGCATTGATAGACACCGAAGCCGATGGACGGCCGCATTAGACGTGGCGGGGCAGGTGGCAGCGCCGTGAAACGTAGCGGAACGCCGGTGTCAGAAAGGAAGTGCCAAAAAAAAAAAAAAAAAAAAAACGAAAGAGAATACGGAATATGGCAGGCAAAAAAAATAAAAAACAGTGTGCGTGTGTGCGTGTGTGGGAGAGGCGCAGACAGCGTGGAGCAACGACGCTGAGCATCAGGCGGACAACGACCATGGATGGCCACATTTTGTGCCTTTTTGACAGACACAACTTTGGAATTGCTCTGATTATGCCAGAGACTAGGGGGGGCGCAGCGGATGCGGGCGGGCGGGCGATGCGACGGCATAGACGGACTCCACGGACTCAACGGACTCGACGGACTCGACTCAATGGCATGTTGACAATGATAACGAAGTTGGCCCTGACTGCGCTTACCATTCGGATGTCGATTTGGCCTGCAGAGAGCGTAAGACAAAGACAGATAGTGGGACAGAGGAAAGGAGAGAAAGCGAAATAGAGAGATAGAGAGTGAGAGAGAGAGAGACGAAAATAAAAACAGACTGCGGAAAATATCAAATGTCGCATGCCGGCATTAATATTTCATGAGAAATCATAGTTTGGTGATGCGTATAATTCAAAGAATTGCAATCTGAATTAATTTCAAATACTCCGACCAGCCGCTCAGGTATTTCGCATCGATTTTGACAATCAGCCTCGGAAACTTGTTGCCACAGAGCCACGTTGGCATTGTTGGGCTTGAATTTTCCAAGCTAGAATCCTCTATGTCTATCTATGCCTCAATAGCTTTAGTGAAGAGTGGGGTGGGGGGGTGGGTAATATATGAATGTTGCATAGATGAGGCAACAAAGTTTTCAACATTTCTGCATCATAAAACTTTACGCCGCAAAGTGCATCAAAATGTATGCGTATCGAATTTGGATGTATGAGCTGTTACTGTTACTCTTGCTGTTACTCTTACTGTTACTGTTACTGTTACTGCTGCTGTTGTTGCTGCTGTTGCTGTTGCTGCTGCTGTTGCCTCGTCGATCGATGGCCACAAAGTGCATTTGCTGCGTGCGGCATGTGGCATGTGGCATGTGGATTCGATATTGTGGAGTCATAAGCCAAGCTGCCGCTGTAACTGCCAAAAGTTTTGCAAGTGAAACTCATTTATTTGTTTTCCGCCGTGACAGTTGAACCATGTAATTATACACAGACAGCCGCTGCCCTCACTGCGCTGTCGCTCTGTCGCCTCCTGGCCCCCTCCACCTACCCCCTGCTTCTATGTCTTATGTGGCAGCATTTGGATGGGAACGGCCCCTCGCCCGAGAGACTTATGAAATATGACAGTTTTGCACACAACGCACAACTTTTGGACCGCCTTTCAAATAGAAATTATTAGAAAGTTTCGAGCGAAAGCGAAAACCGGAGGCTAACGGCGAACTGCAGCGCGCTCTCTTCCCATGAGATTAGTGCAATTCGGGACACAAAACGACCCGTGGCGAGAGCCAGAGAAAGAGAGCGAGAGAGCGAGCGAAAGATATATGGATAGATGGAAAGATATATAGATTGTAGCATGGCTGAATTCATATTGAACATTTCAAGGTTTTATGTCAGCCTTTTGATTTATGAAGGTTGGCAAGCTGCCACACAGCCAACTTTGCACAGTAGCGGAGCAGCGGAGCAGCCGGACGGAGAGACAGACAGCTGGACGGAAGGAATAAGATGTGAAAATATTAGGAATTAGCAGCTAAGTAATGTGCACTAAAAGTGACCCACTTGAGCAATTTGCTAGATAGCTGCGAGCAATCGAAGAGACTCGTGAATTTGTACATGAATTATTGGAGTTACGGTTTATTTTTAATACCTACTCAAAGGGGTTTCGAAATGATTATGGAAGGTTCGCTATGAGTTTAATATAATATTAATTATTGTATACTACATATATTATGTTATAGGAGTATGTGTATATAAGTGTAAATTAAGGAACTTAGCTTGAGAGAGCAGATGAGTGAGAAGAGAAGAGATGTTATGAGACGCTTCTTATCTTATGCAGCCTAACCAAAGAGAGCTATGATAAAACCTTAATCACTTATGATATAATTTCTCTCATATCCTCTCTCTCTCCCTCTCTCTCTCTCTCTTTCCTAAAAAACCTCTGATAAAACCTTAATCACTTATAATATCATTGCTCCCATATCCCTCTCTTTCACTTTCTCTTCCTCTCTCATTTATTCAACATCGGTTACTTAAATCGATCTCTCGCTGGTATCGATCAATGCTATCAATGGCTTTCACAGCATTACTTGCAGGCCCAGTAAGATGCAACAAATTGAGTGTAATAAATGAAAATATAGCAATAATTTGTCTCGCACTTCGGGTATGTAAGACTCGACTGTAGCTGGAGCTTATATTCCGGCGCATCTTTAATAATTCATTCATACTTCTCGCTGTCGGCTGACGGCTGTCTTCATTTCAGCTCATGCAGCACACTTGGCTGGGCAGCAATTGCGCAAATGTTTCTTAACTTAATTGATACGCCGGGACGGATGGTGTGGCACCACAGCCACCGCACCACCGACCGCCAACACTAGTGCAATGGTTTGTGATGCATTGGCAGTGGCAATATTACTTATTTATAGCAACTCGAGTTGCCACTGCTGTTGCTGCTGGTGTTGCTGTTGCTGCTGCTGATGTTGCTGCTGCTGCTGCTGCTGTTGCATGTAAGTAATTATAAATTGAATTAAAAGACGCGCAACTCAAGCGCCTTCTGCTGTTGCTTGGGCTTAATTAAAATTTCATTATGTGCCCACATATATCTATATATACATATATACCTCTCTCTCTATATAAATAAATATATCTATGTGCATTGTCGCCTGCTTTTGGAACTGTGTTTAAAATGCTGTAAAAATATTTGACAAGCAGCTTTACGAGCGAGCCGTTAAAATATTTTATCCCTAGT